AGACTAAGACCCACCTAAATCTGCAGTAAATAAAGGCCTTTGTACTCTGGAATCAAAAACCAAGGAAGAACACAATTTAACATGTTAAAGTAAAGAGTTCCTAAAGTAACAGTTATGGGAATGTAGAAGTCGATCTTAGAATCTCTGAAGGATGTTTACAATACCTCAGAAAGACTTTTCCAATTATAAATGAGATCTGCTCTCTAATGTTCAATATTTCATTGGGATGCAAGTCTTGTATAATGCTGGGGACACCGAGTCCATCAGTACATTTTAGATGTATTTAAAATTATCTTTCATTTGTCCAGTTGGAGGGATTTAACATCTAATCAATTACGTTGTACTGACAGTTTCAAGTTAACATTGCAAGATATGTCAAGTAATAGACAATCGGATGTACTGAGCATTACAATCTATTTGTTAAAATCAATATCAGTTATAACAAAACTGTTGGGCAGCATATGCAACAGCCTGTGATACCTTAAATTCTCATTACTTTTAATTATATTCTACATGTCCTTAATATGACATTGTAAGAAATGTTCAGCTATAACTCAAATACAGCACTATACATTACTTCAGAGTCAAAGAGTTAAAATTGTTTGTGCACATACTTTGCAAAATATTTGCAACTGAATTTACATGGACAAAAACACAATATGCAATATGCAACAAAGGTGCCCAGTAAATGAATGAAATCAAAACCTCAACATAAAATTAAAACAATTTCCAACACTCACAGCATATATTCCACCATCGTGGGCTTTGCCACCACCAAGTGCTGCCAGCTTCTCTCCCGTTTTTCCATCATAGAGGAAGATCTAATTGAACATTGAAAAAAAGAAGTTTTTAAAAGTTCCAAAACTACTTAACTTTCCCACCGTTTCTTTGCATTACATGTGCATATAATAAGGGTCTCTGCCCTTGGTCCTAAGATGGGCGCAAGGTCCTCCAATTAATTAAATCAATCAATCAATCATTATCTGTGCTTATAAAAATAAAATCATCTTTAGCCACCAGTTGAAGACAACCATAAAATGAAATCAAACCCTCTCAATGGTAAGGTTTTGGGACTACAAATTTAGGTAATTTCTTACTATGATTTATTAACATGTTGTAATCATGTTAAGGCATCTCTGTTTTAACTAAAAAAAGTTAATGTAGGCAAATTAAAGTCATGTTTATCTGTGCACAGAGCCCAGAAATCCACTGGTAAGTACTCACTATACACTAAAATCTGAGCAAATTAGTGCATTATAACAAATAACTCTGCAGAGAAATGAAAAAATAAGAGCAATATTATATACAATATGAAACAAAAACTGGGGGGGAAAAAAGGCTACAAGCGAGTCCTATAATTCAGTCATACTGCCTACGATATATGGTAGAACAAGGAATAACAATTGCCAAAATACTCAGCACTCTTGAATATTAACTATGGTTCAACTGTGTATTAAACGTCACACATAAAGCCAATTTGTTAAGATAAATTCTTAATCTATTTCAAGAACAGGTGTAGTTATTGTCCTTATGTACTAGGGTTTATCTAGTATCTTACAAAATGCTTCAACTTAGAAGGAGAAGTATTTTAAGTTAACAATGACAAATGCGTCAATTGGTACCGACCTGGCCATCTGCACCAGCTGAAGCACACCGGTTTCCATCAGGAGAAAATCGTACACAATTAACAAATCGGCTATGGTCCTAGGAGAAGAAACAGAAGTTCCTCGAATAGGGTTTTTTATAAGCAAGCAAAGTAAATAACAAAAAGTACCTTAGTTTTCATTTCGCAGAGAACACTGTACTAAAACTCCAGGTTTACTATTGCATTAAAAACTATTTTCCCCCTTTTGTCAGAATCATTTTATGTGTAATTCCACCCATTATCTTTAAAATTATTAATTCTAAGGAGGGCCGCGGCAGGTTGGGGCCTAATCCACCAGACGGTACAAAACAGAAATAAACCTTAGGATACTAATTACATCCCCATGCAAGCAAAGAAGAATGATTTAAAGACATCAGTTAATCTAGCCATGCCTTTAGGCAAGAGAAAACAACAGCACCCAGAGAACACCTACTCGAATGCAGGAAGAACATACAAATTCCACACATTTGTGGCACAAGGTCAAATGTGCCCCAGGCTATCCAAGAGGTGTGAAGCAGCAGCACTAACCTCCATGTGACCATATGCTTAGAAAAATATTGTATTTCAATGTCAATCATCAAATAGTATGAATTGATGAATAAATGATGATACTGTATATGTGAAACGTTTCAACATGAAGAAATACCTCAAATATCTTTCTTGTGGTATAAATGAGGATTTGGCATTATGAATCTTGCTGAGAAAACCTATTGTATTTGCAAGCTATATTTCAATACTGAAAAAGTTAAATAGGAAATATGCTTAAAAACTAACTTTAAGTACCGTGTATTGTGCTATTTCCAGTTCATACTTCACGGGTTTGCACAAGTCTAGTAGTTTTTTGGTAATTGTCAAAAGCCCTTTTTGATAGTCATTAAGAGGCTAAAAACTCGATCCAAGAAATTATTACACGAATAGTCAAATGGAATGTACAAAGATCAATAAAGGAACAAAATAGTTGCATGTCAGTGTTAGAAAAATAAATCACCAGCTTCAAACATCAAAAAACTAAAAGATCTGTAGTTCCCAAGATTCCTTGTATATTTTTTAAAATGAGTAAAATGTCAGTTTCATGCATGTACTGCATTTTGTTTGTGGATTAACCACTCAGTATGCTCGTGAGATTCTTCATGGTGGAAATCTGGCCTTTGGTGTGGAAATCCCCAGGTATTGCCAGAAGCAACAGCTTAGACATTTACAATAATTAGAATCCATACTAGACTGCATTGGGTTTCTTTCTTTAATTTCACATGGTAAAATCTATTATTTGACATTCAAGTAAATTTTTAAATCAAGTTTACAGTTATGAACCTGCTTAGTAAAAAATATAAAACCCTTCTTTTCCACAGGTCTTTACTATGGGCAAACACAGTATGTCAAGGAAAACCAGATTAAGGAATACAGTCTTCATATAGCCTTTTCACATTAAAAAATATCAGAAATCACAGCACTGAAAAAGTACAATATAGTTGTGTGGTTAAAAATATGCAAGTGAACTAAACAAAAATCTTTAGTTATTCCTAAGTGCAAAAAATACCACCCTGAGATGCCCATTACCTTATATCTGTAATAAAAGCTGTAGCACCACTTGGGAGATTTTATGACTATTATTGTGCTGTATTTTGGTTTCTTATAACGGTTGGATGTCAGCCAATAAATAAAACTGAAGCTGAAACTTTTTCAGGGATTTAGGCCTTTGCTGCACTCAGCTAAAGACTCTTGTGGGATGACGTGGCTAGGTTCCCAGTAGATACATTTGGTACAAGCCATTTCCCCACTAGGGATGACTGCATTACCTATGGAAAAGGGAACTCTGTTTGTGCCTAGTAAGCTTACCATCAAGAAATGTTCAAGAATTTATGCGTTGCAGAAAGAATGAAAATCAAATACAGCACAAGAGAACTCTTGACACTTACTGCCATTGTAAACTTGAATTTAAAAGGTGGCCCCTCGAAGAACGCAGCACAGTTGTCATCACTTCCAGTAACAAGCCGATAGGGCCTTGTCTGCTTTATATCCACGCTGTTGATGATCTTGTTATGACCAGTGATCTCCCCAACAGATGAACCCGTATCCCACAAAATAACTGCTCCAAATCTATCATAGGAAATTTAGAAAATGCTGCATGTTATGTTAGGTTAATTACTTCACTGAGCCACAGAGTGAAAGAAAAATGAATGACTCAATGTTTTTTTTTGCCAATTGAAATCTAAAGACAACAAACCAGCTGCTAGACAACTACAAAATGTTTTTTCTATAATGGTATTGACAATGCAATTAACATTTGCATACATTTTACAAATTAAATGATTAAGGATTTGCCTACAGTATAAAAAGCAGACATGCAGGGACAGGGACAGAAAGAAAAGGAGAAGAGGGGAAAAAAAGAAAGGAGAGAACAGGAAGCTGAGCTGTGGGAGAGCTTCTTTTTCTATCCAGTCTGGGAATCAGATTCTGTCTAGGTAATGCAAGTACTACAATGAGTATCAGACTCTGAACGTTATTATAAGAGAGCTTGCAGTCTGATTTCAGGAAAATCAGATTTATTATATTGTGAAATTCATGCTCTTAAAACATCACTCCTAGTTTAGTGAAGCATTGATAGCACAGAGTAAATGATTCCAATTTACTCCAGGATATATGTTTTACAGAGGGAAATTTACTCCCGAGTAGAATCCAATTTTATTAGAATGCATTTCCCTCTTTGACCTGCAAACATTATAAGGGAAGAATTCTGGAATTTTTTAGATCTGACCTAGGACTCTGATAACCATTACACAGATTTCTACACAGTGTAACTGTTGGAAAATTGTAATACCTATGCTTAACGAATATTTGCCAAGGTGGGACCTGATTAATACTCTTATTATAAGAGCTGTGCAGGAGAATAAAAGGACACATGTTCCTCATAAAGCTGAGCTCAGGATGACTTGGTTCTTAAAATACTTCAGCCAACAGATCTTTACTTTAATTCTATAAAATTGTGTTATGACTGGTAAAGTTAGCATTTCACAGATATTAATCAAATTAAATTGAAAAAGCATCATGATTGAGCTCTGAACTTTAGCAGGTGAAAATATTCACCTTTACCTTTATAAAAAGCTGGTGGCAGAATATGATTTTAACACACTCCCTTTCCATTACAATATGATATCACTGTCCATGGAATGCAAACAAGAGCAGTGGAGCGGGGTCTCAAAAAGCAATAATTTTAAGAGGAACAAGTAATAGGTTTATTCCATGCTGAAAAGAGAAGAAAGAAAACGTTTCGGCCGTGGAGCCTTCTTCAGGTGAAGACCTTCCTTCTTCCCTTTGCCTCACACCTGAAGAAGGCTCAATGGCTGAAACGCGTTTCTCCATTGCAATGTGGAATTATCGTGTTGCATAAAAGTTCACTCAGTGAAGCTCTGTTGTAAGAGGCTGCTGTATCTTTAGACTGTTAAAGATAGGACTGGCCAAAGGAAGTCTATTATTACTTCACTTACCTATTAGATATTTTAAGTGACTTCTGACCATTTAAGATGAATTTATAAAAAAAGGGTGCATTAGTTTATTTTTTTCTGGAGTTTTTTAAAATATTTCCAAGGCAACACCAGATTATTTGGAGCTATATGAAACATAACACTTAGCAAACCTATATGAAACTTAAGATAAAATAACTGCATTTCAATTTGTATGTGTTTAGGAACAGGGACTCACATGCAACTGTGGATGACTTGGTTCTTAAACATTTCAGCAAGCTGATATGAATCTTTACTTCAGTTCACATGTGTTATGATAGGTAAAGTTTGCATTTCACAGATATTAAGCAAATTAAAATTAAACAGCATCCTGATTGAATTTTCAATGTAAAACAATTCTCTAAATAAAGAACTCTAATGAAAGAAAATGGATGTTATTTTTTTCTATATATTTCTGTACATGTATTTCAAGCTAAAATTATGGCTAATGAAACAATTTCTCATCTGTTGCTAATTATAAAATACATTATTCTGTCAATAAACAAATACACTCACAGGAAGTTATTCTGTAAGCAGTAAAATACTTACTTTTCCCGTCCTTCTCCAACAATAGCTAATCTCTTGCTATCTTCAGTCCAAGCAATGTCTTTAATCTTTCCTGAAAAGGGCTGATACTCATACTTCAGAATGTGTTCCTTCTGAGTGGTATCCCAGATCCGAACCTTCCCCGAGATATCTAAGTTGGATGAGTTAAAAAAAAAAAGCTTTAAAAAAAAAAATCTTTGCCAGGGGAAGAGCTGTCAATGTGACAGATCCTTCTTTTTATTTCTAACAAAAAAGACTGTCATAAAATCTGAACTAAAGCCTATACTCCCACCTCTCATTCAGTTTCTCTCCATTATGCTTCATATTAATGAATGTACTGTAATTTCTATAACAGTCATACAATGTGCATTCACTGACATATTTAGGAAACCCAAGGCAGACGCAGTATGGAAATGCAAAATCATTTTTAACAATGAGGTGTTGAGAAATAGTTTTAAAATCATGTTTCTTTTCAAGAACATTGCTTAATTTTAATTTTTCTGTACATCAAAGAAGTATGCATATTCAAAAT